CTGAGTTACAGTTCACATTGAGCAGGCTCAGGCTGCAGGACTACAGCAAGGCTGCTGGGAAGTTCTGTGGTGCCCAGGAGTTTCCTGGAGAAGGTGTCTTCCAGGCCTTTCTTCCTCTTAACTCTGGGCTCGGGGTCCCACTTGCCAGCCAGCCTAGGAAAGAACCCTTCAGGAGACGCCCAGGACTTTCCTGCTTGTTCTGTCTAGGCAGAGGTGGCAGTGATGCCACCTGGGGTTCTCAGAGGAAAAAGGTGATTCGGGAGGCCACTGTCTTGCAGCCATTGGAGGAGAAGAGCTGTTCCTCCTCTGGGAAGTAGGTGGTGCTGTCCAGCACAGCCTGAACCACTTCCTCCTGGGGCTCCAGGCCCAGCTGGGCCAGCTCATTGAGTACACAGTGGCGCACGTGGTGCCGCTGCAGAGGGAGAAAGGGCACCACAGCGTCCAGCAGGTGTTCCTCCATGATGCCTGACTGCCAGAAGCCATCTGCAGGAAGGGCAGGCAGGCACAGAGGCATGGTGAGCTTTTCAAGCCGGGAGCTCATGCCCCCTAGGGGTAGTGAGGGTGCAGGAGTCTGTTCAGGCCAGAGCGGGGTGTGCAGAAGCCTGGGGGAAGATCTACAGGGCAGTGGGCGAGGCTTTCAGACTTAGGGGTCCAGCCCACGTGTGTGAAGGCCCCACGAGGACGGGTCCCAGAGCCAACTTACGGTGAGGGTTGTCTAACACAGCTCGGGAGACTGCCGGCTCCAGCTCCTGCAGGCTGATTTCTTCCCTGTCCCTGCGGCTGCGCCATGCCTCCAGGGCCACCTGGTTGATCTGCTCACCACCAGTATTGCTAAAATCACAGGAATCCAAGCTGAGTCTCACTGAGGGACTGGAGGGTGACACCTAACATGATTCAGTAAGCAAAGTGGCCCATTTCCATCTCCCCCCAGGTCCTATGACAACCAAGTCTCCATAACATGTACGTGCCATGCACTTTACAATTCACAAAACAATTTGGGGGGTGGGGCTGACAGCGTGTCTTGCTACTGAAGCCACCCTCCTGACTCAGGGTCCAGAGTCAGGAGGATTACAAGTCCAGAGTCAGAGGATTACAAGTGTGTGCCATCACACTCGGGCCAAAGAATCCTTTTATCTATGAATGTATCCTTTACCTAGCTTCCCCAAGAGGGCAGTGGGACATTAGCATTGATCCAGATTCAGAAGCAGAGGGCAGAGCTCCGAGGTTCAGCAGTTTGTCTTAAGGAGTCACAGCTTGGAAACAGGGCTGGGGTAGAGGGGGGGCCACTGCCCCTTCCTCCCAGGCCTGTCTGTGTCCTCTCAGTTCCCAGAGGGATGACCAGGCAGGGATCCACACAGCAGCAAGAAGCTAAAAGTCAGGGCCCAGGAGGGCTTTGAGGATTGTCTAAGGGGTAGTCAGCCACCTCTTCACAGTCACTGGGACAGTGTGAGGAAAGAGTACCCTGCTGGGGTCACAGGTCCAAGCTGGATAGCAGACCTCAGTGTCCCCCACTCAGCCTGCTTGAAATACCTGATAAAGATGAACATGGCTTTGCGATAGTTGGTCCCGTACACAACCCAAGAGGGGCCCAGGAAGGGCTGCAGGACTTCCATCAGGCCAGGGGGCAGCTTGTCCATCTCGTCAAAGAGGAAGAGAGATCGGCCACAGGCAGTGAGGTTCCCCTGGACCCAGCTCTTGAGATCCTTCTGTGGGGGTCGGGACAGGAGTTCCAAAGAAGTGGAAGACACGCCCCCAACCCCAAACTTCTTCCCAAACCAAGTAAAGTCCCCCGAGAGACGATCTGTTTCCAGAGAACACCCACCCCGAGACAGATGGGAAAAGGGTGGTCTAGAGAGGCACAGAGACTTGTCCAAGGTCACACAGCCAGTCAACAGGAGAGCAGGGACACAAATCCACGTGCCCCAATTGTCTGGACCTGCCCCACAGTGTGCTGACAGCTAAGACATGAGGAGCAACAGTAACCAGAGCCGGCTGTCCCAGGGAGTGCTTTCTGAGCACCAGATTGGGGCTAAGCTTAGCTGGGGGCCTGAGAATGCAGACACGGGTACTCTGTACGCAATGTCTGCCCTGGACAGTCCTCATGTCTCTGGCGCACAGCACTGGTGCCAACAATGCCCCCTCCCCCGTATCAGAGAGAGCAAGCTCTGCTCCACACAGGTTTGGAAGGCTCCAGCTGGCTGTGTGGTTTGGAACCCTCTCTGGATTAGACCTGAGGGAAGGGATCCCGGGTACACCCTTCATACCTTGTACTGCTCAATGTGGCTGGGGTGTGGGAAATGGATGATGGGTGAGAAGTGGTGCACATGAGGGCTGCGAAGGCCACCCCGGAAGAGATACTGCGCCAGCAGGGAGCTCACGTAGGACTTCCCAGTGCCTGTCCAGCCGTGCAGGGAAAGGACCAGGGGCTTGCTGGGGGCCGGGTCCTGTACAAAGGCCTTCAGTGACTTCACCACCAGGGCCTTGGCCAAATGCTGGCCAGCCAGGTGTTGGGCCAGGTCACATTCCAGACCTAGGGCCACAGAAGGAATATATATCAAAACAGATGACAGGGCTGGTGACTCATGTCTGTAATCTCAGCATCTGGGAGGCAGAGGCAGCAATTTTCCAGCTAATCAAAGGCTAGCCTGGGCTTACAGTGAGTTCCAACAGGCCTTTAATCCCAGCATTTGGGAGGCAAAGGCAGGGGAATCTCTGAGTTCCAGGCCACCAGCCTGGTCTACATAACGAGTTCCAGTCCAAGAAGGTTTACATGGCAAGACACAGTCTCAAAACAAACCAAACAAGGAAGGAGGGAGGGAGACAGACAGACAGACAGACAGACAGAGACAGAGGAGAGACAGAGAAACCAGTCGGGCATGGGGTGGCACAAACCCTTAATCCCAACACTGGAGGCAGAGCCAAGTCGATCTCTGTGAGTTCGAGGCCAGCCTGGTTTACACAGTTCCAGGACAGCCAGCGCTACGTAGAGAAACCCTGTCTCAAACACAAACAAAACAACAACAAAACAACCCCCAAACCCATCAAGGCAGAGGTTCAAGGGGGAAGGCATGTCTGAGACCTCGGGGTATCTGTCCAAACAGGGACAGGGGCAGCCACCTCAGCAAGCGCCAGCGCGACAGCGCCCCCTCGAGGCGGTTCTCTGGATTGCACCAGCCCCGAGTGGGCGAGCTCCCGCTGTCACAGGTTCAGCTCGGACCCGGGCCGTTTGCAGGTTTCTCCTCGGGCGACAAGTCCGCTCAAGGGAGGCGTTCCATGAGCCACCGGGCGCCCCGCTGTCAAAGCCTCTCTCCACAGAGCTCCCCTGAACCGCTGCCTCGGGTTGGTTGCCGGAGGCTCTCTGACCCCCCCCGACCCCCGCCGGTCCCGGCCGCAGCTGCTTCGGCCCCCTGCGAGCTCCCGGCTGCCCACCCCTCCGCCCTGGCTCCCACCCCTCACCCGGCAGGTCCGGCCAGAAGTCGCATTCGCAGAACGAGCCGAAGCTGCAGCGCAGAGAAGCCACGTCCCAGGCGGTGGCGGTGGCCAAGACCAGTGCGAGCAGCCCGAATATCGAGCCCCAGGGCCGGCAGCCTCGCCTAGCAACCGCCATCCGGTTGAGGCCCGATTTCGGTCTGAGGCCGCCCACTGCCTGGACCTGTAAACTACAACTCCCGGTGCGCACCGCTCCGCGGCAGCCACGCCCATGGCTCCCGTCTTCCCTTCCTCGCTCTCTAAAGCCCGAAGCGTTGTCTAGCAGCAGTACCGCAAATCGGCCTCCAGGGGGAGCCCGCGAACCGCCCGATCCGAGGCTGCGGCCCGCGTTTCCATGGTCACGGGTAACTAGGGGCCGGCACCTTACCTCAGAAAGAATAAAGGATTGTTAAGAGGGTGACGCAACAATAATAACAAAAACTTGTGCGGAACCTTACACTTCGCTGAGCGCCTTTTCCAAGCTCTTAAAAAAAATTTATGTGACAAAAGCGTGCTCACTTAGGACAGCTTTTTGAGAACCTGCCTCTGCCAGTGTCAGGTGCCGTACATGTCCTGTAACACCCTGCTATATCCAGGGATGGTGATACTCAGTGAAATGTGGTCACAGTGTTTGGGCTCAAAAAATAGTCAGCAGGGCCCGTGAGAGGGCCCGTGGGTAAAAACGCTTGCCACCAAGCCTGAGGTCAATCCTCAGAGCCTGCCTAGTGGAAAGAGAACCGATTCCTGCAGATTGTCCTCTGATCTCCACACATGCATGCACACACGGACTAAATGGATAAAAAAGCAAATTAATAAGGCAGTAATGCAGTTTCATAAGTCTGAGTAATTCAGAAAAGTGTAACTTTTTCCTTTTCTTCCTCCTGTTTCATTTTTCAAGACAGGGTTTCTCTGTGTAACCCTGGCTGTCCTGGAACTCGCTCTGTAGACCAGGCTGGCCTCAAACTCAGAGATCTGCCTGCTTCTGCCTCCAAAGTGATGGGATTAAATGTGTGAGTCACCACACCCAGTTGAAAGATTTTTTATTTTAATTTAACTTTATGTGTATGGGTGTTTTGCTTGCACATCACAAGTGTGTCTGATAATCGCAGAGGACAGAAGAGGGCATCAGATCCCCTGGGACTGTAGTTAGAGATTATAAACCACCATGTGGGTGCTGGGAATTGAACCTGAGTTCCCTGGAATATTAGCCAATGCTCTTAACCACTGAGCCACCTCTCTAGAACCCTAACTTCTAAGAGCTCTTTTCCCCCAGACTCTGGGCTTCTTGCTTGTTTATGGCTTCTCTGGACAGGCCTTGGGCTCAGAGAAGGGTGAGGAGTGGACCCCTGCTTCCCGCACTGGCTGGGCCTGAGCTCTGGAGGTCAGGGAGTGGCTTCTCGCCTGCCGTAACCCTGGCTCCCTGTATAATATGGAAAGTCCTTGGTACTAGCCAGGTATTCGTTGAAGTTTTTCACCATTCACCTGAGAAAAAGGGCCTCTTTGGACCCAGGCCTCACAGAAGGAAAAAGAAGAAAGAGCCATTAAAGTTTATTATATGAAAGAGAGAACATGGCTTCTGTACATGTATTTACAGGTCAGACTTATTTACAGCAAGACAGAGACCTAGAGGAAGGAAGAGGTGTGGGGAGCCTCCCATGGCTCAAAAACAGGGAACCTCTGTGGAAATGGGGGGCAGCGGAAGCCAGTGGGAGGAGCAGAGGTTCCTGTCCTTCTGGAAGGGAGACTCGGTGCGTGTGATGGGAGGCTGGAGTTCGGAGTCCATTCAGGACCCTGGAAGTGCAAGGGGGATCCTGGAGTTGAACCCAGAACATTCTTGGGCTGATCACAGTGTCCCTGTGGTGCTCTGGGGAAAGTCCTGAGCCCCTCTGCCCCCAATGCTGCCGGCAGCTGCAGAGAGGCAAGGTCTCCCGGGGTCACAGCTCGCTGGAGCGGATGGCAGGTTCCAGCTTGTGAGACAGGGCGGTGAGGACCTTGTCAAACTTCTCATAGCGCCGGGCCTGGCTGCTGTTGGCACCCTGGCTGCCCCAGAGGAGACGCATCTGGAACTCTGTACTGAACACTTCCAGGAGCTCTGGCCGGGCCTGGAACCCTGCAGGAGTGGGGGCGGGGGGAGCACATGGTCAGGGGTCTCTTCACATCCTTCTGGCCTCACTCTTCAGGATCTTTCCCTAGCCCTGCAGGAACCCAACCAAATACACTGGGGAACATGGCCTGGCAGCTGGCACCGCGTCTTTCTTCAGCTATCTGCAAATCATGATTTGTAAATGACTAGACAATAATTGGCGTGTGTACATGTGTGGGTGGTGCTGGGGGTGGGACCTAGTATTGGTGTATTTTAAACAAATACTCAACCTCTCAGCTACCTCAGCCCTTAAAAGGTAAAATATTCCTGTAAATTTGAGGGAAGATCCCAGAAGATCCTTCTTGTGTTTTTCTGTAAGTTACTTTTTTTTAAAGAAACACACTTTTAAAGTACATATAAGGAAAAAGATATACTAGAATATTCACACCATGTATCTCTGGGCAAGTGGATAATTTTCTAAATATTGTTATTGTTATTATTATTTGAGATAGTCTCCCTATATATCTGGAACTTGCTATGTAGATCAGGCTGGCCTTGAACTCAGAGAACAGCCTGCATTCCAGGCTGGCCTTGAATTCAGTACGAAGCTGGGGGTGATATTGAACTACTGATGCTCTGTCTGCGTGCTGGGATTGAACCCAGGGCTTTGCATGCCAGGTGTGTGCCCCCTGGGTTTTTTGTGGTCTGAATAATGCCCAAAGCAGGAAAAGAGACATTGTTGGAAGTTACTTTCTCTGCTCCTTTCCCAGAATTCTATGTTCCCCCAGCCAAGGCTCCTTGAAGACTAGGCAGGTCTGTCTTCGTCCTGGGCCTTGGCTGGGCACCTTGCAAACACAAGCTGTCTTGTGGAAAGACAGCTGCTTACTTCCTGGATAAGCACCGAGGCCCAAGGCAAAGGTGTCCGGTCTCTCAGCCCACCTCACTGGATGGCCTCACCAACAACTGCTTGTGGAATGCATGAGCGAGGAGATAGGCTAGATTAGGGAGCCAGGAGTCCTGACTGAAAATGTCAGTGGTTCGAGACAGAGAAGGGTGATGAGGGGAAGCCAGGGAGGGCAGGATCCCTGGGACCCAGCAGCTACTCACCCTGCAGCTTGACCTCGGCGTTGGTGTGGTAAAGGCCTCCGTGGTGTGCCACAGTGCGGGCGGCCTCCAAGTGGGCTAGCACAATCTCCACACCATGCTCTGTGCTGCCCCAAGGCTCAGGACCCTCGGCGGGGGCGGAGTCACACTCCAATAGAGTAATGAATGGCAGCACGTGCGGAAAGGTGGTGTTGCTCAGTGGGGGGCTTTCTGTGGGGAGGGGGCAGCGCGTTCTTAGACCTGGAGACCCTGCCCCCCACCACAGCCCCAGAGAGGCCTCAGGCCCCAGGAGGAGCACGGAGGTCACACGGGACAGTCCCGTCTTTCCCTGGTGACCCCACCCTGGATGTGGACAAGATGTACCTGGCTACCCCACGGGGAAAAGTAAAGAAATCAAGCTCTCACCCTCGCCACCCCATGAAAGACTTTAGCAACCCAGAGAAGGCTGAAGCCTATGCAAAGTCACACAGCAAGACGGGGCCGTAAAGTACCTTTGCCCTCATTGAGGCTTTTGAGGAAAGGCTTGAGTTTCTTCTCATACAGAATGGCGCCCTCCGTGTGTCGCTGCCGCAGGGTCACCCATGTCTGTTCCAGCCTCGAGATCTGGGAAGACCAGACTATTAGAGACTGGCTGAGGAAGGAGCCTCCAGCAGCAGCTGGCCGCAGGCCACCCCACTGAATGGACACCCAGATGTTGGGATAATGATTATTTTCCTGGCTGTCACTCGTGAAATGGGTAACGGTGTTAAACTGTTTTTCATGTCTTCCCTGAAGCCATTGCAACACATTTTACAAATCATAGTCTCGGCTTTGGGCTGTGTAACCTCCCCTGGTTACGCTCTGCCGCAGATGCCCACGCTGTAAGATAGGACAATACAGGACCTCCCTCGCGGACTGATTGAGGGATCAGCACCAGTCAGTGGAGCTGTGTGGAAGCAAGCATGCAGAAAGCTCATCAAATGATAGACATTGTGTGTCCTGGTTGTTTGGAAGCAGGGTGTCATGTATTAAATTTCTGATACCCCTGCTTCTACCTCGAGTGCTGGGGTTACAAGCACTTGGTTTATGAGGTGCTGGCAATCAAATTCATGCTTGGCAAGCACTCGATTAACTGAGTTGTAACCTGGTCCCACTGTATGTTCTTTTTTTTTTGTTTGTTTGTTTGTTTTAGATAGGGTTTCTCTGTGTAGCTTTGCGCCTGTCCTGGATCTCACTCTGTAGTCCAGGCTGGTCTTGAACTCACAGAGATCCTCCTGGCTCTGCCTCCTGAGTGCTGGGATTAAAGGCGTGCGCCACCACTGCCCGGCTTACATGTTCTATTTTTTAAATGACTTTTTTATGTGCATGTGTGTGTGCTTTATTGTATTTTTGTGCATCATGTGCATGCAAGCGCCTGTGGAGACTGGAAGGGGGAGTCGGCGTTATAAGCAGTTGTGAGCTGTTTAAAAACATGGGTACTGGGAATGGACCCTGCGTCTTCTAGCAAGAACAGTATGCTCTCTTAAAGGCTGAGCCATCTCTCCAGCCCACCCTCCACCCCGCCCCACCAACACACTGTATATTCTTTAACCTCACTGTGTCTAATTCATTTTACAGGTGGGGAAACAGAGGCCCAGAGAAGGGTTCAGATCATAACACCTGGAAGGACTCGACTCTCCTGGCTGGTCTTTCAGAGGGAGCCTAGAGACTCTGGAAGCCCTTGTATTTTCCATGCACAGTCTTTCCTACCGCCCCCACCCCACCCCGGGGAGAACGCGCCCCGGGCCTCTCTAGCAGACAGCCTAGTGGATGCCCCGCGGACCCCGCAGTACCTGGGCCATCTCCAGGGCGCCCATGACCGCGGCGAAGCTGAACATGTTGCCCATCGTCCCCCGCAGCTCAGCCGCCAGCTGGATAGTCTTATGCAGTAACGCTGCCCGCTCCTCGGCGGAGCCTGTGCAGCCCAGGATATCCACCGCCAGCATGATGGACATGGTATGGAACCTGTGAGAGGTCAGATCAGAGGGGACGTGACAAACGCCGAGGCCGAAAGCACAGAGTAAGGACCAAGGGGCGCAGTCAGAGTGACAGGCAAGGAGAAGGGAGCCCAATTGGACAGTGTAAGTTAGGGGCGGGATTGGGATGCCAGGAGGAGGGGCTTGTAATTGACGGGCGGAATCCAAAAGACAGAGTTTTAGAATGAACACAGTGGACAGCAATGGTGGGCGGGGCCAAGGTTGATGGACATGGGTATGCGAGAAAAGAAACCGATCGATAAGCTGCAGTCTTTAGGAAATGAAGCTGGCTTTGAGCCGAGTACCAAGGGGCTGCGATTGGCTAATGGGATGGGAGGAGTGGTCAGAAGCCCTGGGATAACCGGTAAGTAAGGTAGCCGCGGGCTGGTGCACACCTTACCTTTCCAGCAGGTCTAGTCTCAGCTGCCGGCCATGGGGGAGGGTGAGCAGCTCCATGCCCCAGCGGACTCCCATTAGGGTCTGCATCTCCTTGGTAACGCCCAGTATCCTAGCAACCTGCAAAGACGCCCAAAGGGCTGATTAATTTCCTGTCAGGGTTGGCCCAAGCCATCTGGGAGTCAGAGCTTCATCTTAGAGGGTCGCCTGACTACGAGGCCGGGGTGCAGAACAGGGGGCGAATTGAATCCCAGCTCCACTGAAAACATGGAGCAAGTGATTTCCCCCTTGCTGAGTGAGCCTCAGTTTCCCCATCTGTAAAATGGGGAATGGGAACATGCCAAGAGGTATATACCATGTTAAATACTCACTTAAGATTAAAAGCCAGCGGGCTGGAGAGATGGCTCAGTGGTTAAGAGCATTGGCTACTCTTCCAAAGGACCTGAGTTCAATTCCTAGCACCCACATGGTGGCTCACAACAATCTGTAATAGGATCTGATGCCCTCTTCTGGCCTCAGGCATATATGCAGAACACTCATACATAAATTATAAATAAATAAAATTTAAAAAAAAAGATTAAGAGCCAGGATGCCATTATCCTTGATTGCCAACCCAAGGCCCAGGGAGGGAACCGCCCAAGTTCATACACTTGGGCCTGCAACCCAGTTTCTCCTTCTTCTCGCTCACTTCTGTTCTTTTCTCACTTCCTGATTTCTCAGACCACCATACACCCCAAACTACAGAGCGAGAAACTGGGGTACGGAAAGAATGGGGCTCATAGCAGGGTCAAAACCTCACACCGGGGACCTTGACAGTTTGCTTTGTTGTCCACTAGGGGGTGTGGGGGCGGGGCCAGGTTTCTCTCTTCCCTAAAGCAGCCACTGACTTTCTTCAGGCCGGCGCCAGGACATTATCTACGTTCCCCAAAACGTCAGTCCGAATTCCAAGCCAACATCTAGAGGCTGTAGGAATATCTTGGTTTTGGCTTTTTAAAAGAAGAAAATGGGCACGGCTGGTGGTGCACGCCTTTCCTTTCAGTGCTGGGAGGCAGAGGCAGGTGGATGTCTGTGAGTTCAAGGCCAGCCTGGCCTACAGAGTGAGTTCTAGGACAGCCAGGGCTACACTGTGAGATTCTAACAAAACAATCTAAAAGATGCCAGGCGATAGATAAACCCAGAGTCCCAGAACCAAGAAGTCGGCATTTGAGGATCAGTCCCTCACCACCCTGACTCCTGACCCCAACGTCGGAAGACAAAGGTGCTGTCCCCTCCCAAGTGCATTCCTAACACCTACCAGGCAGTCAACCTTGGTGACATGCCGGGCCAGCGTCCTGGCATCCGCCTCTGACAGCAGCTCCTTGACCTTGCGCAGAAGCCCCACCTCCAGAGGCCGGTTCTCCTTGGGGATCAGCTGTGACTGGAAGGTAGCCAGGTTGAAAGAAGAGGTGGCTTCCACTACAGGGACCGTGAAGGTCTTGCCCCACTCCCCATCAGAGACCCCGTTTTCCAACAGTTCCTTTTGCCTCTCTGCAGAGCTCCTGGTCTTCCGGGGGGCCTCTCCTGCTGCCCACTCTCGGCTGCCACGGGCGGGAGGCTGGAGCTGACAGTAATGACCAGAGTCCGGGTCACTGTAGCTGCTGAGTGAGGGTGACGGCGAGGCTTTGCCGAGGGTGTGAGAAGGGCTTGCATGGGGGCCCCTGTCTGACTCCCCTGGAGGCTTTGGAGCATTCCCGTGAGATAGCTGAGGTTCACTGGAGCGGCGGGCAACTGGCGAGGCAGACTGTGCTGTGGTAGAGGGGGTGGCGGGGGCAGCTTGGACACGGGTTACTGCAGAGAGGAGGAAGAAGACTAGTTACCTCAGCTGCCCTTAAAAATGGAGCTCCACCTTCTCTATTTCCCCAAAGAACAGTCTCCGTCCTGTGTAAGAAGGTGGTGTCCCCACCTCCCAGCCTGTAGGGGCAGACCTGTGATACTCAGCAGTTCCCTGAGCCAATGGGGCTTGCATGCCCCTGTCTGGAAGAGGATGCAACATCAGAAAGCCACGAAGGTGGTCCAGGGAAGCTAAGCCTGCTGAAGTCTATTGTGCCTGTGGAACTATCACCTAACACGTTAGCAATAATGATTTACTGGATGTGGGGGGTGCGCCCAGAGCTGGTAAAGTGCTGGAGACTCATCCTCAACAGTCAAGACACCAACAAAAAGAGGTGAATGCCAGGCATGGTGGCACACATCTATAACCACAGCACTGGAGAGGCAGAGCTGGAAGGACAGCCTTGAGTTGGACACCAGCCAGAGCTAATGAGTTCCAAACCAGCTTGAGGTACTTAGAGAGCTCCTGTCTCAAAGGGGGGGCGGGGGGTGTCTAGATGGCTCAGTGAGCAAAGGTATTTGTCACAAGGTCTAAGAACCGGTTAGATCCCTGGGACCCGCACAGTGGAAAGACAGACAGCACTCTGAGAAGTTATCATTTGACCTCCACACATGCTGTGGTCCATTTGTCCCCCACACCACACACAAATAAGGACATACATATAAAGGAATTTAAAAACAAAACAATAACTCAGGTGTGGTGGCTCATACCTGAAATCCTGGCCCTCACAAGGCAGAGACAACCGAATCTCTGTAAATTCAAGGCCAGCCTGGTCTACCTAGCAAGTTCCAGGCCAGCCAAGAACCTTAATAGTAAGACCTTTTCTCAAAAAACAAACAAAATGACCCATTCTATGGCAGTAAGGACTTTTATGGTCCCCAATCTACAGCTGAGAAAAAGCTCAGAAAATGGAAGAGATGCCTGCGGTCACTCCGTTTGCAAGGGATAGGACTAGGCTTGAAGCTTAGAAACGGCCCCAGTAAGCCGGGCAGAGGTGGCACACACCTTTGCTCCTAGCACTCTTGAAGCAGAGGTGGGCAGATCTCTGTGAGTGGAGGCCAGCCTGGTCCACAAAGCAAGTTCCAGAGCATCCAGGATTATTACACAGAGAAACCCTGTCTTGAAACACCTCCCTCCCACCCTCCAAAAAAGAAAGAAATTGTCCTGTTACATACTTCTAGTTAAAAAAAAATAAATAAACATAAGGTGTGGTGGTGCACACCTTTAATTCCAGCACTCATTTGGCAGAAGCAGTCACGGTTCTGAGTCGAGGCCAGGCAGGGCTACACAGTGTCTCTGTCTAGAAACACATAAGTAAAAATATAACTGTTCTCACCTGGAGGTGCTGTTTTGAAAGCAAGTGTGTGCAAAGACAAAGCCGGTGGCCTGAAGTTAAAGGGAGCCTCCGGGGCACACAGTAACGTTCTAGAAGCACAGAGCGCTTCCGCCAGGCCCAGGCTCCCAGGAGACAGCTCCTGGCTCAACTCTAATCACTTTGGGGGTAAGACATTTTGTTGGACAGTTTGGATTTGTTTTGCTATGTTTTCAGAAATAAACTGGGGGCATATTTTTACTTTTCTTTGAATTTATAAGCACAGTATACCATGATTTCAATTATGTTATGTATCTTTTTTTTTTTTTTTTTTTGGTTTTTCGAGACAGGGTTTCTCTGTGTAGCTTTGCGCCTTTCCTGGGACTCACTTGGTAGCCCAGGCTGGCCTCGAACTCACAGAGATCCACCTGGCTCTGCCTCCCGAGTGCTGGGATTAAAGGCGTGCGCCACCACCGCCCGGCTATGTTATGTATCTTAAACTACTCTGAAATGTAAAGTGTTTGCTGAGCAGTTAGGTTTAGGTTTGTTAGACACCTTTAATTTCAGCACTGGGGAGGCAGAAGCAGGTGGAGCTCTGTGAGTTTGAGGCCAGCCTGGTCTACAGAGTTCCAGAACAGCCAGTCTGTCTCAAACAACAAACAAACAGCAGCAGAGCACATTAGCCTGGGTTAGCCTGATCTAAGCTAACACTAGGACCTAGGGATGCACTTGTTACCAGGTCCTTGCTAAGGCAGCTGCAGTGGGAACTTTGCCTGCTGGGGCCAAGCACTGTGGCATGAGTGCCCTGGCCCAGGCTGCACCTCCAGCCGCCTTCCTCCATCCTAGCACTCACACTGAGAACCCACTTTGTGCCCATTGCCTGGCACCCACGGGAACACGATCCACGGTTGCTGCACAGACAGTTGCTTATGCATCAACACCAGCAATTCTGCCACAGGCTTTTCTAGCACATTCCTGAGGGCACTGCTCCCGGCACAGAGGCAGAAACACAGGTAACAGACATTGCCCATCAAAGACAGTAGGGCTTCAGCCCACCCCCTCTGCAGCTTACCAGTGCTGTAGGCAGGGGAGCCAGGACTCTCGGAGATAGGAGACAGGGGTGAGTGTAGATCTGGGATCTGATCCATGCTGAGGGCACAGTTTCTGATGGAGTCCCGAGGATGGGGTAGTGAGGTGCTGTAGACAGGGATTCCATGAGCCCAGTGGTCAGAAATCAGGACATGACCCACCATAGGACCCTACTCCCCACCCCCTGAACTTCAGAAGCAGAAAAAGTGATTGTCAAATTCAGTCTCTCAATGGACAAATGCAAAAGCTGGAGAAGGAAGAGCTAAGGTGAAGAGATGACTCCCCAGCCCTGGCCCCAGCTGGCCTTGACCACAGCTCACCAATAGCAGGTCCCAATCCCCAAGACAACCCCAGGGGGCCCCCGACTCCCACAGACCTGACGCACAGTCCTGCTTCCACTCGCTTACTTTCTAGTTACCTCCCCACTCCGTTACCCTGCTTTCCCTCTCTATCCCTACCCAAAATTCTCTTCTAGGCTCAGCGACATGGAGACACAGCTTGGGGACACCTGGCTAAGCTGAGGCTTCTCAGCTCCTCTGTCTCTCCTGTCCCTAGAGGAATGGCAGGAAGAGACACGCAGGCCGGAACCCAGCTTATCCTCACGGTCTCTGTAAATCAGACCATAGACCCCGCTGTCTGCACAGACAGCCTCTCATGGTGCCCTCAGCGAGTGCAGACCTGTGTTCCAGCCTCCACTCCCCTGCACAGAGCCTCACATAGCTCAGGGAAGCTGGGCCCTCCCTTCTGTCTCCCTGTTGACACCCCCATCTAACAAACCAGGAGAGTGGGGGCCTGACTGACCTGTTGGGGCAGCCATCGCTGCGGGTGACCTTGTCAGAGGTCAGCCCATCCGTCATGGTGACGCTTCGTCTCTTCATGTGGCTGCCCTTGGAGCCCGAGGGGCTGACAGGGCTGGCGGCCTTGCTGCCGGCCTGGCTCAAGCCATAGCTGGCCTCGAGGTAGCGAAGGGGGAAGGTGCGGTTGACCGGGCAGTAGATGATGGCCCCACTCTGCTCGGACACGGCCTTACGGCTGCCCACGTGGTAGCGCACGAGGGCAGGCACATGGTCGAAGCTCTCCTGCTCAAACAGGTACTGGATGTGGGTGTAGCTCTCACCCGCCTTCACCACCACCTTGTTAATCTTGAAGTGCAAGGCCTGGTTGTGCCAGCGACACGTGAGCACGTAGTCCCCGAGGCTGGTGAGTGAGTCACGGATGAGGAAGTCGCCATTGCGCTGCACCAGGGTCTCAGAGACCTACAGAAGGTACGGAGGAACTAAGTTTACCAGAATACCAGAACCAGGGTCAGGAGACATGGTGACGTTGAACTGGGGACACCAAGACAGCATCCGGAGCAGTTAGTAGACACCAGACATCTGAAGCTTAGACCCAGATTCCGAGGTGGCACCTCAGTTGAGGCCATGGATCAGGGACACAGAGGCTCAGGGATGACAGGAGGTGGCACTTGGAATGCACACAGGGCACAAGGACTGGAAATGTTGGAATCACTGTGATTAGAGACCTAGGTCTCAGACCCAGCCACTCTCAGGACACACCCCAACTCTGGGTGTGTCTGCTCCCTTGAGATGCCCTCTGCCTAGAATACAGCTGATGAACCTGCGTGTCCCCCAAGGTCCACTCAGGACCCTTCCTAGGGACCACCTGCATTTCTTCACAGCACTCTGTCCTGACTTCTGTGAAAGACTTGATGCTCTGCACACATTCAGAGCCACCAGCCTCCAAAGAAGCTGCCACCTGATTTATCCATCTCCGCAAACTTGATCCCCTGTGCTGGGGCACAGGACCAGGTGACCCACCAGTCCAGGTCTGTGATTTACAAAGTCCTCTAAGCCCAGATACTCAACATGGCCCAAACTGAGTGGCCCCAAAATGGATGTTCTCAGCCAGGCAGTGGTGGTGCATGCCTGGATTACCAGTACTCAGGCAGAGGCAGGAGAATCTCTTGAGTTCAAGGCCAGTCTGGTCTACAAAGTGAGTTCCAGGACAGCCAAGGCTACACAGAGAAACCTGTCCTGAAAAACCAAAAGGTTGTTCTCTAACCAAACTCACATGAGGCTGACCTATAAGGCAGGAATAACCAAACACAGTAAGAACAACACTCCTTGTGCTCATATTCACTGGTGCTGGACATCTTTTTTTTTTTTTTTTTTTTTTTTTTTTTTTTTTTTTGGTTTTTTTCGAGACAGGGTTTCTCTGTGTAGCTTTGCGCCTTTCCTGGAACTCACTTGGTAGCCCAGGCTGGCCTCGAACTCACAGAGATCCGCCTGGCTCTGCCTCCCGAGTGCTGGGATTAAAGGCGTGCGCCACCACCGCCCGGCATGGTGCTGGACATCTTACCTCACCTGCATTCATTCACTTCGCCTTCGCAATAGTCCCTCCCTTTTGAGAGAGAGTCCCACCGTGTAGTGCACCACTGCCTTTGAAGGGGATATGCTCTCTATTGTACAGATGAGGACGCCAAGGCCTCGAGGGCTGACATGACGCTCTCAAGGTCACAAGGTAAATGGTAAAGCTAAGCCACATCCTCACCAATGAACATGCCAGAGCCTCTCTGGTGACTGGAGCCCGGGCTGAGGTTGGCAGAGGTGTGGGGAGAAGGGTCCAGGGCGGAGATCCCTGCCTGGGGCCTGCTTACCTCCCGAGGGATGCGTCCGTGGTACCAGGCATGGCTTCGGAGGTCTGTGCTGTTGAGTTTCAGCTCTTCTTCCAGCTCCTTGTGCAGTTTCTCCGGTGAGGAGTCGAGAATGTACTTCTCCTTGGAGAACTGCATGGGGATAGTGAGGTTGGCATCTCCTTTCCTCCCAGCTCACCCTGCCCCAGGTCATCTTTAGTCCTGGGATTGATGAGAACACTAAAACATTGGCCATGGCTCCTCACCCGTGGGTCCCTAGCCCAGCTGGGGTAAAATCTCAATTTATTCTACCGGAAGCACCTATGCAAGGGCTGGGTGCAGCAACACACAAGTCAGGCCCTGTCCTCCAGTAAGTCCCCGAGCTAAGAGGTGAGCCAAAGGGGCCGAAGGAGGTGGCTGCCATCAGCACCAGGGTGCTGGACAGCGCCAAAGAACACTTGCTCTCTCCTGGCCAGGGGATTGAGTCTGTGAGAGGTGAGGGACCAGACAAGGGACTTTCTGAAGGAGACCGGTACAAAACCCCTCCAGAGACAGCAGGGCCATCTTGAAGAGAGGCCGCCTACAAGTCAGTCTGAGAGACAGCAAGTGTCTGGACCAACTGGCTGAACAGATGAGGCTACATCCGGGAACGTGTGTGGTGGGGTAGAAGGTCCGGAGGCACCCATAACATGGGCAGGGACCCTCACAGACATCCCACTGCCCATTACAGTCCTCCAGGACCCTCCCCTTGCAATCTCAAGTGATCCTGCCAGGTTGGAAAGTGTAGCCCTGTGGGGCGTCTAAGGTCACTCACTGAAGTAGAGTCCAGGGCTCTACCTTCCCAGCTACCTATGGTGGGCAGCCCTGGTTTTAGAGGTTACCCAATCCCAGGGATCTTATCGCCAGAGGAGAGTCCCATGGCCAGGCACACCCCATGGTAGAGGCAAGCTCACCCTGAGCAGTCTAGGCCTGAACTCTTTCCTCAGTAAAATGAGTGGGACTCCAGGACCTGCCTCACCTCACGGCTACTCTAGTCACTGTATGGCTTTACCAGTCCCTAAAGAAGGCTGCTCCAAGACACGCATTCTAGAACTGGTCAGAAGTGTACAGACAGGTAAGGCCAGGGTATGGAGTCTCTCCTGGCTACTTCTAGTGTGTGGCAAGCCACTCCTCAGACATTTCCAGACCCACACTCCACACAGACTTCATCCTTATCTCCACTGCTTCCCAACAACCATGATTCCAGCTCCAGTAACAGCTAGACTCTCCACCCCCAGCCATTCAACATGGACCAGCCTCAGCTTGGGTACTCTGCTGGAGCCCAAGGTGACCAGGATAGCCCACTGCCTAGAGGAGCCGTGCAGACCCCCACACTCAATTCCAGGTGTCTACATCTTCAGAGATGCAGTGTCCTGTCCAGAGACTGGTAGAAGCCAGATGTGCAGGGAGGGGCTGAGGCAAAGGTGGGGGGGGCTGTGGGCAGATTTGGGTCTCTGATGGTGGGGCAAGCTGGACAGGTCTGTGGCGCTGCCTGGGGAGCTGGGAGACCACCCAGAAGCCGCAGAACAGGGCAGTGTGGCGCCAGGCTCGCTCCCCTGCCTGCAGAGAGTGCCTGAGCGCCTCAGTCAGCGGCGGAGGAGCACTGAGCACTGACGCAGCCACAAGGAAGGGGGGTTAGGTGGCCGACGGTTGAGTAAGGGAAGAAGGCCGAGGGCCAGACAGGATGGACACCAGTGGAATCCTGAGAGGAGGATGGCCCCTTCTTTGAAAGGCAGCTAGAGCAGAGACAGGAGTGTGTGGCAGTGGGTCCGTGGTGGTGTAGGCTCTGAGATGCCTTCCGAGTTCTGGAGACAGAGGGGGTCATCTGGTCGCACAGGGGAAGGGCAGGACTGGGGCTGGACTTGCTGCAAGGCCTCTGCCCACAGCACAGTAGACATCAATGCCCTACCAGGCCAGAGAGGGCTTGGCAAAGTGGAGATTTGGGCCTTCTCCGACTCCTGCACTTCTCCAAGAGGTCCTCTTATTCCTTAGGGTCATTAGCCTCCTCCCTTTTATTCTGAAGCGCTCACACCAGCCCAGGCCTCCTCCCAGCCCACCCCTTCGAACCTCACAGGATTCTGGGAAAGAAAGGTGAGGCTCAGGGAAATGGATCCTGTACCCAGCCTTACACATACATACACACACACCACTCTCTGCTCTTAACAGAGGACACACTGGGACTCCCCTCCCAATTCTGAGGCAGAGTAGGGGCAGACTGTCCCAAAGAACGTGGACACAACACTGTGTGACCTTGGGCAAGTCACTTCCCCTGGCTGGGCCTGAGTGGCTTCATCTATAAAAGGGTTCTGGAGACTGGCACCTCATTTTCAGCCCTAATCAAAAGTCAGAGTTGGGTTGAAGGGACCAACCTCCCACATACCTGGGGGTAGGAAACCCTAGGACCCCTGTGACCTCCTCCTCACCCTGGGCCTCAGGGTCCTCAGCTGCCAAGAGTTGGGGGGGGGGGGTAGGTGCAAATGCAGCATCCCTGAGCTCGGAGCACTGCGATTGGCCAGAGATGATCTCACCGCCTCCCGGCCTGCGCACGCCTGATTGGCCCGTGCGGGGATGCTGCGCTCCGCTGCCGGCGGGGCCGTCATTCAGGCGGGCTCGGAGCAAGTGTGTGTGTGTGAGGTTGGGGGAGCTCAGAGGTGAGGCGCCCCGCGTCTCTCAGGAAGCCCGAGAGGCAGGAGTGTAGAGAACCTCTGTCAGGGTCTCAGCCTCTTCCCACCAGCCAGTGCCCAGCACTACCCCCAGCTCCCTTAGGTATCCCAACCCCTGGCACAGCTACCCCAGAGGATGCTCCGCAGAGAGGCGGGGTCCAGGTCCTCCCCTCCACCCCCTTCCGTTTAACCCTCGCACCGCCGCTGCGAGCCCCTGCACTGCTGGGCCAGCTGGGCTGGGAGACCTGCACCCCCAACACCCTGAACCCACCCAGATGGCAGGAGGGTGGTGACACCGTGGTCTCCGCCGCGTGCCCTGTAGCACACTGCCCCTAACTCAGCTTCTAGACACCAGCTCTGCGTCCCTGGTACAATGGGGACTCAGGTGGCCCGGGGTCAGCAGCAGGGACCCCATAGCGTACTGGAGGAAGCCCACCTCCCAGCCCGAGTCCCAGCTCCAACTCGCTCCCACGTCTCCTGCAGTTCGGAGTCGAAGGAACGACCCCCTGGACCCGCGCCCCTCGGAGCGCCCTGGGTACCCCGAGGTGAGCTTGGAGCGACCCCGCCCCCTCCCTTCGCCCATGGCCGGACCCGCACAACCCTGCGGGGATGCTCTCGGACTGCAGTCCCCATCACAGCGGCCGGGCGCAGTGACCCGGGTCCCCGTGCCGCCCCCTCACCTGCACCTGCACCAGTGAGCCCCGGTAGAAGCAGCAGGCTGCTGCGGACAGCGCACTCCACAGGCTGCAGCGCTCCGTCATGGTGCGGCCGGGAGACCCAGGTCCCCCGAGCGTGCCGGGGGTGGAGGCCGAAGGGGCAGGGGCGCGGGGACCGACCGGGCTGGGCACCGGCTGCGCGTGCCTCTCAGCGGCGCGATTACCTCATCGCCTGGTCGGGGGAGGAGCGGGGAGGCGGGGCGGGGAGACCCCACCCTCCAGCCAGCTGGGTAGGGAGGGGAGCGAGGAGAGGGAGGGGAGGGCACCATTGTTCCTCCCTCCAACACCACCCCATTCCCCTATGCGGGTTCCCCAGGACCTGCCAAGAGGGATGCTACCCAGGGCAGCAGGGTGGGTGGGGACCCCGAGGCGGGCGATGGGGTTCCTGCTTTTCGCCACTCTCGTACCCCTCCGGGTCTTGCAGACCCAGAGCCAGCGGGGACTCTGAATTCAATTCGATCTAAAGCTACATAAATGCCCATGTTTAAGCCAATCCTTTGTGGCTTCAGGTTTCTCATCTCTGGTTGAGAATACAGCAGGGTTAGATCAGCTGACTCTGGCAGTGCTACAGTCCGGAGGCTGAGTGCCAAGCGCGGCTCACCCACCTGCCTCTCTAACTCTCAGGCTTCCCACCCTGGGGCCCTTCTCTTTGAACCCGGACTGGCTTGCGTGGAGGTGTCTGGAATACAAGGTGAAGACCTGTGCGGAACTTTGAGTGTCACCAGGCTCGATCAAAAAAGTTGCCTGGTGAAGAAAATTATGGGGTAAAGACATCCTATTTCTTAGCTAGGGATCACAAAGCCTGGATTGGGGGTAAGAGCTCGCCTAGAGAGCGTGCCTAGCAAGGGTTAGGCGCTGCGTCCAATGTCAGCACATAAGGAATCACACGGTCAGAATCTGGACTCGAAGGCTGTGGATGTATGTGTTCCAGATGGTAGAACACTTGCTTGCCCAGCATGCACTCGCCAGCACTACATCAACTGGGTGTGATCTCAGCACTCAGAGGGTGGAAGCAGGAATGTCACAAGTTCAAGATCATCTTTGGCTACAAGTTAAACCCAAGGCCAGTCTGGGCTACATGAGACCTATTCTAATAATAATAATAATAACCCCCAAAACTGGATATGGCATCCAAACCTGTCTGTGACCTTAAGCAGGTGAGCCCACCTCTCTGGGCTCCAGATAACTATTTCTTTTCTATAGATATACCTGGAGCTCCAAGCATGGAGCTTGAAACTTTAGAGGCTTGGTATTTTTTTGGAAAGATTTATTTATTTATTTATTTATTTATTTATTTATTTATTTTTTTTATTTTTTTTTTTTTTCGAGACAGGGTTTCTCTATGTAGCTTTGCGCCTTTCCTGGAACTCACTTGGTAGCCCAGGCTGGCCTCGAACTCACAGAGATCCGCCTGGCTCTGCCTCCCGAGTGCTGGGATTAAAGGCGTGCGCCACCACGCCCGGCCAAGATTTATTTATTATGTATCTGTAGGTACACCATTATGTCAGAAGAGGACATCACATCCCACTAGAGATGGTTGTGAGCCACCATGTGGTTACTGGGAATTGAACTCAGGACCTCTGGAAGAACAGGCAGTGCTCCTAACTGCTGAGCCATCTGTCCAGCCCCCTGGGCTTGGTATTTTAAAGTCCTGAGAGTCCAGGATTCCTGTCATTGTTTGGGGATTGTGGGGTTTTAGATACTCTTCAATGTTGAACACTTCAGGGCAGAAATGGAGTTTGGAAACTACCGATTCCAACCCTCACCAGCAGAGACTTTAAAAACAAAGCTGAGCTTGCTTTGAGTGCTGCCCAGCAGTCCCAGGGAGCAGCTGGTGCTCCTTGTAGGGTTTTTAGTCTTTTCCTCTTTGTAATGGAGATGCAACCCAGGGTCTCCACAAGGTAGGCTGTACCCCAGCTCCACCCTCAACCCTGAGATCTACATTTTAATTCCAGAAAGAGACAAAAGAGTCCCCCAACTTCATCAAGTTCTCACTGCCTTGCCAGATGTAGCTAATCTGTGACATTCAAGTCCCACTCTGGCTCTGCTCCCCCATATAACCGCTCCCCCGTGTTACAGCAGCTCAGTGACTTGATGTCGCTGAAATTTGGGGCCAGGCCAGCCTGTCCTGGTCCAGACCCAAGCATTCCCTGTGGGTACAGTCTCATTGAGCCCCCCAAAGTCCCCTGTTTCACATAAGCAAATGCTGAGTCCCAGAGAAGCAAATCACTTCTAAACTTGAGACCAAAATCTAGACTGGGGATATATAGCTTTGTGAGTAGGTGCTGACCTTGCCTGCAGGAAGCCTTGGATTTGATGCTCAGCACCACATAAACCAAGCATGGTGGTGAATGGCTGAAATGCTAGGACTCTGGAAGTCGAGGTGGGAGGGTAAAAAGTCCCAGGTCATCTTTGGCTACATAGTAAGATTGAGGCTGCCCTCGGCTACATGAGACCGTCTTGTGTGTACACACACACACACACACACACACACACACACACACACACACAAAAGCTGTTGGCACATATCTTTAATCCCAGCACTGAAGAGGTAGAAGCTGGTGTTTGAGACCAACTTGTTCTATATGGTGAATTCCAGAGCTACATTATAAGACAGACTGTCTAAAAATAAGTAAATCGTCCGGGCGGCAGTGGCGCATGCCTTTAATCCCAGCACTCGGGAGGCAGAGGCAGGCAGATCTCTGTGAGTTTGAGGCTAGCCTGGTCTGCAGAGAAAGTTCCAGGACAGCCAGGACTGTTTCACAGAGAAACCCTGTCTTGAAAAACCAAATAAATAAATAAATAAATAATAATAATAATAATAAATCATAAGTCTGGATTATAAAATGAGCCCAAACCCTGAGTAACTCTTCTCTGGTTCCTGCCTTGTCTGAGAGCGGGCAGGTTTCCTTCCTGCTGCAGCATCTGCTGCTCTTCCGAGGCCTGGCTCAGAGGGAGCCTCTGACGGTGGAAGAGCCAAGGACATGGTCTTGAGTCTGAGCATCAAGCTTGGGGCACAGTGCCAGCTCTGTCCCTACAGAATCCCTTGTGAGTGGGAGAAAGTCGTTCGTTTCTAATCTGCAAATGGAAACCCCAAAAACAACAACGAGGAGTCAGGAGGGCTCCGTGGGTAAGGCCCTGCTGCCAAGGCTGGCCACCCGAGTCCCAGAACCCACGCGGTGGGAGGAGAGAACTGACTCCCGCAATTTCTCCTCCGACTCCGACATGCACACTAAATACATAGACAGACAAATAATAAATAAATATTTTTTAAGTTTACAAAGGAGCAAACCAGCCTCGGCCAGCCCTCAGCAGCCAGCCTGCTTTTGCGGAGAACCAGCTTTCAAAATGTTCCTTAGCCTTTGGTATTGTTATGGTTACTTCAAAACCGACGTCTTCCTGGGTCTTACGCTATAGTCCACGTGACCCGGAACTGCCTGCTGTCCTCCCACCTCAACCTCCCGAGTTGGAGACGACAATCAGGTGCCATTGTGCTCAGCAAACACCCCCCCACCCCCCCCA